TTTTTTTAAGAAACAAGGTTTCACTCTGCCACCCAGGCTGGAGTACAGTGGCACAATCAGAACTCATTGCAACCTCCAGCTCCAAAGTTCAAGCAATCCCTCTGGCTCAGCCCCTCAAGCAGCTAGAACTACAGATGGGCAACACCCCACCTGGCTAATGTTTTTGTGTTTTGTAGAGATGGGGTCTCACTGTGTTGCTCAGGCTGGTCTCAAACCCTTGGCCTCAAGTGATCCTCCCACCGTGGACCTCCAAATTGCTGGGATGACATGCTTGGTCTAATTATTTTTAATGATTAAATTGTTTTACTGTTTTTTGACATTAAATGACTTCTCCCTGAGGAAGGAGAAAGTTGGCCTCTGTTCTCAGGCCTCCTCCTAAGAACAAAATGCAAGAAAGGGCACCTTCAGCCTGAGCGGGACGTGGGAAGGGAGGAGGGCATCCCTCCTTCTACCAGCTGGTCCCTTCTCCCGGCCTCATTCCTTCTTCTTCCTCTCCCCTGAGCTCCTCCTCCAGCTGCCACTCAGGAGCTAATGTGTGTAATGCCTACCACCCACCAGACTCAACAGACAGTACACCCACTTATTATACCATTACCCCAGAATATTTGAAACGTTTGAGAACTACTTTAAATAGAAACTCAACGTATTTTAATTGGGGTGGGGAAAGGGGTGGCTCCATACAAAGGCGGCAAAAATAGATGCGATGGGAAAGAGTGAGGGGCTGACAGCTTCGCAGCGGGATTCCATTCCAGAGTCTTCTGCTGTTTGTGGGTGACAGTGAGTTACTGAAACTGTCACAGAGAAGTGGGTGGTGTTAACACAGACCTTCGCACACTGCCAAGGCAGTTTCACTAACGTGTGAATCGTGAAAGACTGAGGAGTTAAGTGACAGACAGTGGTGCTAATTCGCCAAGTCCCCACCCAAATGAAGGCGAGACAGATCTTCCCTCTCTCGGGGAGGCTGAACTTGGTAACCCCCTCAAGGAGTGTGGGGAAAGACAGTGAAGAATGGAGGGATAGATGTGCATGTACATGCGGGCACATAGCTGTAGGTACGGGGTTCCTTGGCAGTGGTTTCATAAAATGGGACCACGCTGTTCAAGCTTTTCTACGTCAAGCTTTTTGCACTCAACAAATCCTTGAGGAAATACTCCAGGTCGTCTGTGTGACTTAGACATGTTTGTTTTAACGGTTGCACCATACTCCACGATGTGGTTATCCCTCCATTTATGGTCAATTTCTTTATTCTCCATTTCTTTCATCCCAACAAGGTTGTAATAAATATCTCTGTACCAATGGTGGTTTGGGTTCATGGGATAGATTTCCAAAACAGGACTATTAGAGCAAAGCATAGACATTTTTATTGGGGTTTTGGTCTGTTTTTATTTATCTATTTATTTTGAAACAGAGTCTCACTATGTTGCCCTTGGTAGAGTGCTGTGGCATCATAGCTCACAGCAACTCCAAACTCTTGGGCTTAAGTGATTCTCTTGCCTCTGCCTCCCAAGTAGCTGGGACTACAGGCACCCACCATAACACCCGGACACCTTTTTTGTTGCAGTTGTCATTGTTGTTCAGCTGGCCCAGGCTAGGTTCGAACTCACCACCAACCCTGGCGTATATAGCTGGCACCGAGACTTGTTTTTGTTTTTGTGTTAGTTTTTGAGACAGAGTCTCACTTTGTTGCCCTCAGTAGACGTCCATAGCATCATAGCTCACAGAAACCTCAAACTCTTGGGCTCAAGCAATTCTCTTGCCTCAGCCTCCCAAGTAGCTGGGACAACAGGTGCCCACCTCAGTGCCCAGCTATTTTTAGAGATCGGGGTCTCACTCTAGCGCAGGCTGGTCTCAAACTGGTGAGCTCAGGCAATCTGCCTGCCTTGCCCTCCTGGAATGCTGGCATGAGTGACCATACCAGGATTGCAGGCATGAGTGACCATACCAGGATTGCAGGGATGAGTGACCATACCAGGATTGCAGGCATGAGTGACCATACCAGGCCAGATTTTTAATTTTTATTTAGACATAATTTACAAAGAGTAAAGTGCATAATATATACATTCATAGCTCAATGAATCTTTAAAGGGATTACAGCGTATATTTCAGTTATGATAGTTGTTGCCAGATTGCTGTTTATAATCACGTTTCCACGGCCTTTAGCCCTCCTTTCCCTGACGGTGATTTTATTTTCTTTTTCTTCTTTTGCAAGTGTGATGGGTATAACGTGATGTTTATTGCTCCTTCCTCGTGGCTTGCCCTGGCTGCTGGGGAGTTGGAGCAGCTTGTCACATGCACGTTGGTAGGCTGACCATTTGAATTTACTCTTCTGTGATCATTCCTTCAAATCTTTGCCCATTTTTTTTCCGGTGGGTGGTTTTTTTTCCTTGTGAATTCATAAGATCTCTGAATATTAATGATGTTGACACTGTCATTTGCATTGTCATATTTTTTTCAAATCTATCGCTTATCTACTAACATTGTCTGTGGTTTATTTATTTTTGCTATAGAAGGCTGTGAACAACAGTTAAGGGTGGCAGTGATGTGGGCAAAGACCTAAAGAGGAACAAGGAGAGGGGCAAATCAAAAGAAAAAAAGACTGCATTTGAAGTGAATCCTGGGCATTGATGTAAAATCATGTACAGGTTTAAGGAAATTAAATACAAAGATAAAAATATTTTAAAATAGACAATGGCGGGTGCTTTTCTTTTTTAATTAAACTCTTTATGCTAAAATAATTGTAAATCGGCTGGGCGCCTATAGCTCAACCGGCTAAGGCGCCAGCCACGTACACCTAAGGTGGCGGGTTCGAATCCCCAGCCCGGACCTGCCAAACAACA